TCAAGCTGAATTTGCAGCCAGGGCTCATCAAACACCTCTCTCTCTAAAATTAATAAACATGCCCAGCCAGTGTGGCTCAGTGGTTGAACTTCGACCTATGAACCAGAAGGTCACGGTTCAATTCCCAGTCAGGGCATATGCCCGGGTTTCGGGCACGATCCCTAGTGTGGGCCGTGGGGGAGGCAGTCGATCAAGGATTCTCATCATTGATGTTTCTATCTCTCTCTCCCTCTCCCTTCCTCTCTGAAATCAATAAAAATATATTTTTAAAAATACAGGTAATTTCTTTTAATAAACATATCCTTGGTGAGGAGTTTTTAAAAAGCAGAGATAGCCCAGTGCACAGCAGCAAGAGAAGCTGGTCATGCAGGAGGGGGACTTGTCTTCTTTGCTGTCTACACTGTGCTCACCTCCTCCCATGACCACATCAAAATTACAACTAAATTATAGAATAACCACCCTTGAGAGTCACCTGAAGAGTAGCTGAAAAGAGAACTCTTCTAACTATGGATATAAAGAAGAAGCCCCATGACACTGGTAGGAGGGTGGAGATGAGATGAACTGGTTCCACACCCAGGAGTGTCAATTAAGAATCAGGAGGGGTATCTGGGCTGCAGAGGTCGCCCCTGAGGAGTGAGCAGTCCCAGCTCCACACCAGGCTCCCCAGCCTGGACCACCAGTGCTGGGAAGAGAAGTCCCCACATCTGCCTGTAAAACCAGCAGGGAGTCCATCCATGTGAGATGGAGGGCTGCTGGGGTCCTGGGCATCCTCTTAAAGGGCCCTCCCATGGACTTACTGCCTGAGGAATTCATTCGATCTGAGCTCCAGCGCTGGGCAGCAGCCCCGAAGGCACCAGGGACATGCAAGGAGGAACTGAACTGTCTGGCTTTAAGGCGAGGACTGAAGGGGAAGCGCTCTCTGCCAATTTATAACTTTGTTGAGCCATCCCCTCCCACAGAGTCTCCAAGATATGCAGGTACCAAACCTGTGTCTCCATCAAACTCATCCAACCCTGTTGATTCCCTGAGAACCTGTCCACCCAACTTGTGCACAGGTCCTAACCTCTTTCAGGCTTCAGCCCAGACTGTGGTCTTCCCTAAAATCTCTGAAAGGTACACAAACCTTTCAGCATGCCCTGTGCATCTTGCTAAGCAGCCCCCAACCCTTTGCTTAGTGGCAGCTGGCCTTGGTTCACAGCTGAGCCTCTCCTAGGCATCTCCAAGCCCAGCACAGGCAACTACCAACCACAGATCAGTTTGTAGGTCCTACCAGGTGGCTTTGGACTGGGTACAGGTAGTAGGTGCCCTGGGCATGCACTGGAGACCTCCCAAAAGGCCCAGAACCAACACACCTGGTGACCAGCTTCAGACCACACCAGAGTACCACCTGATTAGCTCCACAAACAATGCAGCAAAAGGGTGAACTCAGTAGGCACCAGAGCCCTGCAATAGTGAATCCCACTCCATGGGGTCAGCCCACACACAACAGCTCATCTGCTATAGTCATGGCAAGCAATCTGCTAGAGATAGAGTTCAAAACACTGGTCATAAGGTTGCAATTAACTTAGGGGAAGAATAGGTAAACTCAGTGAGAACTTCAACAGGGCAGGAAACATAAAAATGGAGGTAGAAAATAGAAAAAGAACCTGTCAGAAATAAAGAATACAAGAACTGAAATTGAAGAATACATTAGAGGGAATCAATAGCAGGATAGATGAAGCAAAGGACTGAATCAGCAACTTGGAAGGCAAGGTAGTGGAGAGTACTCAATCAGAACAGCCAAATGAAAAAGAATCAAACAACAAGAACAAAGTAGCATAGTTTAAGGGACCTCTGGGACAACATCAAGCATACAAACATTCACATCATAGGGGTACCAGAGGGAGGAGAGAGAGAAAGCAAAGGATTGAAACCTATTGAAAAAATAATGACTGAAAACTTGCCTAACCTTTTGAAAGAAATAGACTTACATGTCCAGGAAGCAGAGTCCCAAACAAAATGAGCCCAAAGAAGCCCACACCAAGATACATCATAATTAAAATTCCAAAGGTCAAAGAGAAACAGAGAATCCTAAAAGCAGTGAGAGAAAAGCAGTTAGTTATCTACAAGGGAGATCCCATAGGACTGTCAGCTGATTCCTCAACAGAAACGTTGCAGGCCAGAGGGATTGGCATGAGCTATTCAAAGTGATGAAAAAGAAGGACCTACAACCAAGATTACTCTACCGAGCAAAGCTATCATTTAAAATTGAAGGAAAAATAAAGGCTCCCTAGAAAGGCTCTGGCCAAGGTGGCTCAGTTGGTTGGAGCATTGTCCCGTGCACCAAAAAAATAAAGACTCCCTAGACAGGCTCTGGCCAGGGTGGCTCAGTTGGTTGGAGCATTGTCCCGTGCACCAAAAGTTATGGGTTCAATTCCCCAGTCAGGGTACGTACCTAGGTTATGGGTTTGATCCAGGTCAGGACGCATATGAGAGGCAACCAATACATGGATGTTTCTTGAGCTCTCTCTCCTGCTTCCTCCCTCTCAAAAAAAAAAAAAAAAAGTGCTCCCCAGGCAAGAAAATGCTAAAGGACTTCATCATCAACAAACCAGTATTACAAGAAATGTTAAAGGTTAAAGGAGCTTCTTTAGGAAGGAGAGAGAAAGGGGGAGGAGGAAGAAGAAGAAAAATAAGATATAAATATGAATAATAAAACTGTAATAACTATATACCTATCAATGATTACTTTAAATGTAAATATATTAAATGCTCCATACAAAAGAAATAGGGTAGCTGAATGAATAAGAAAACAAGACTCAAGTGTCCACTGACAGATGAGTGGATAAAGAAGGTGTGATACATACATACAATAGAATATTACCTGGTCATTAAAAAATAATAAAATTTTACCATTTGCAACATCATGGATGAACCTAGAGGGTATTTATGCTAAGTGAAATAAGTCAGACAGAGGAAGACAAATACCATATGGTATCATTTATATGTGGAATCTAAAAAACAAAATAGGTGAGCAAACAAAACAGAAACAAACTCATAGATACAAAAAACAAACTAATGGTTGCTGGGTGGGAGGGGTGTTGAGGGCTGGGTGAAAAAGGTGAAGGGATTGAGAAGTACAAACTGGCAGTTATAAAATAGTCACAGGGATGTAAAGTACAGCATAAGGAATATAGTCAATAATATTGTAATAACTATATACGGTATCAGGGGTACTAGACTCATGGGGGGATCATTTTGTAAGTTATACAAATGTCTAACCACTATGCTGTACACGTGAGACTAATATAATATTGCATGTAATTGAAAACAAAATTTTAAAAAGGAAAGATGTGCAAGGATTGTTTGCCCTGGAAAGGAATGGACCCAGCCTCTGAAGCCAGGCACCCAAGATGCACAGGACACGAGGTTGCTCCAACTTCAGAGTAGAGACTTTAACATCTTCACCACTCTGACATGCTCCTGACACACACACATTTCCAACAAGTTGCACACATGGACTATGACAGTGAAAAGTGGCATCACATTTTCAAAACACCTGCTTCTCTCTTCAGGCAGCACTGACTGAATTTGTGAAGCTTTGCCTGCAGCCTCATCCATCCTCTACTCCACAGCCCAGCTCCCCCCAGAAGCCCCCCGTCTCCCCCAGTCTTTCTAGGCCTCCCTGATGCCCTGCTCTGAGCTTCCCACGTCAGTATAGGAATTAGCTCGGGGGCAATTTGTCTCCCTACAAGAGCACAACTTCCTCCTGATAAGAAGCCTTGTCCATCTGCACGGAGGACCTGGCACTACCCACAGGGAGCAGGGAGTAGTGGGCTCCCATAGCCGAGCCGGCACCTGACAAACAGCCCCAGTTTGGCTCCCGTCTCATCCTCGATCTCACTCTGTCTCTTTCTCTCCATATCTATCTTCCATGGGCAAAGGTCACCCCATCTGGGCTGAGCCCACAAGAGGGTCAGTGTGGTTCATCTCTAAGTTCTTAACACTGGAGTTTCTGAACCACAGACGTGCCCTCTGGTCCACAAGCTCTGCCAGTGCCCGTGTTTACTCGCTTTGAATAGATGCTGTGCCAGAACCTCAGGCTCACTCTTCCCACCATGCTCCATTGACGGCACAACAGGAAGCAAATGTTGCTCACCTCACCTCTTCCATTTCCTCTTTCTGTCACCCCCACCGGCTGGCCCCTCCAGCCACCCGACATGTGTTGTCTCTCCTTGTGTACATCTGCCCATATGTGCTCAGAGGGCCTTGGGGGGGCGGGGTTCTTTCTGCTAAAGTTGGGGGAGGTGGTTTTGTAACCTCTTCACGACTTACCAGTCCCTTGCCTTGGTACAAACATATGTGTTCGAAATCAATTTATTTATTCATTTGTTAAAATATCTTCAACCACATTTTACATGTAAAAGTTCTTGTAGTCACTCTCCAGATGCCTCCTCTGTGGGTCAGGCCACACTGAAGTGATCACACCCATTTTGCAGACAGGGTTGTCTAGGCTCAGAGACGGAAAGTCGCTTGCCCAGAAACACAGGTGACAGGAGCCTCCTGCACTTGCTGACTCCCCACCCGAGTGCTCTCTTGCCCACAGGTCCATGAATATTCTGTTTAATTCTTTGCTCCTTCTCTCTAGCCAGCCCCCTCCACCTCAGATCTAGTTAGCTATTCCAGGAAAAAACTGATTTCTTACTCATCTGAGGGGCCCTCCCAGCACAGCCCAGCCAGTACTTGACAAGCAGTAAGACACTCAATAACAGCTACTGAGTGAACACGTGCTTCTGTGTAGAAGGTCTTCCCAGATCACCTTCTCTGACCAGAGACTTGTCCCAGTGCTTTTTGTACACAAGACTCCACTTCCTGGGGCTGTTTCCCTGTCTGTAGAGCAGCGACAGAGGGCTGGACTTGATGATATCCAGTCTCCATCAAGTGACTGGAAACCAGGATGCCCAGCCAGCCAGACAGCAGCTGGCCATCCCCTCAGGTACCCAGCAAAGAAGACAACATTCTGGGAAGGCAAGCAGCAGCAGTTGGCCATCCCCTCAGGTACCCAGCAAAGAAGACAACATCGTGGAGAGCTTTGGAAGCTGCTGCTGTTAAAAACAAACAAACAAACAAAAAATCAATTTAATCCTACAAGCAGTTAATTTAAGTTATTTTGTAAGATTAACTTGACCTTGGTCATACCTCTGAAACATCATGAGCAAAACTTGAGCTGTTTCCCAAGGTAGAAAGAGGTAACCACTGATCAATGCCCTATCATTTAAGAAAATCCTAGTATTACAACCAGTCACTGTGAAGAGGAAAGAGTCACTGCCTTCTCACTGTGTAAGCTGCTTTATAACAACACACCCTGAGCTCCATTCCATGCTTTGGCTTGTGTGCTCCCAGTTTGCAAACTGTCTGGTGTGTGCACAGTGATCTTGCACTCATTACTGCTCAGTGGCTCAATGGTTTCCCTCTGGCTATTTATGACTCTCTGGCAGTGTTCACAGCTGAGCCAGGGAGTGGGTGGAAGGTGTGGTCAGGCTGAGCTTCCTGCTTGCTGCAGCCAATTTCATCCTTCAGATTATTTTCTTTTCAACACTTTCAAAGTCTTGGAAACTGAAACGCCTACTGCCAATCAACAGTCTAGAACTGAAACGCCTACTGCCAATCAACAGTCTAGAACTGAAACGCCTACTGCCAATCAACAGTCTAGAACTGAAACGCCTACTGCCAATCAACAGTCTAGAACTGGAAGCCTTGCCTGACACTCCCTTCACCTTCCCACCCCATCTGTCCATCCGGGAGGCCCTCCCCCAGTGTCTGTCCAGGGCCCAGGTTGCCTGACGCCTCCACTCCTACCCTCAACCCCCAGCCAGTTGGCTGACTGCACTCCCCTTCCAAATCCAGATGTTTCCCTCTCTTCACCAGACAATTTTGTAGTTTTATTAAGTTGCTTACTGCATTTGAGGGTATATCAAACATATACCCTCAAAGTGCCAGAACAGTATAACGAACTCTGCACTCTGCATCCGCTTCAACAATACCAACTAGTGACCCATCTTTTTCGCCTACACTTCCATCCACCTACCCCTTCCTATATTATTTTGAAGCAAATACCAGGCATCATATCATGTGATCTGTAAATATCTGAGTATGTGCCTTTAAATGATATTAACTTTGACCATGGTCACACCTAAAAAAGTTAACACTGATCCCTTAATATGATCGAATAGCCAGTCACTGGCCTCATCCATTTTTTCCTTAAGTTTGTTTGAATCAGCATCCAAATGAGGTCCACACACTGTGAGTGGCTGCTGTATTTTTTAAACCTTTAAGACTCTACAGGTTTCCTCTCACCTCCATCTTTTTGCTTTTCCTCACAACTTACTGAAGAAACTGGTTGGTCACCCTGCATGTAAAGTTCCCCACAGCCTGGGTGTGCTGAACACATCCTCGGCGGGTTTAACACGCCTCTCTGCACTCTATTTCATGGAAGTTGGAAGTCTGATCAGATTCAGGTTTGATGCTTCGTGGGTAGAGCTGTTCATGCACCCGGAGACACAGACTGCCTGGTCGTTGCTCTTCTTGTGGAGGTGCGTGGGGTCGATGCCCAGATCCATTCACTCTTCGCCGGTTGTACAATGGTGGCTGGCTTACTTTTGACCACTTATGGTCTCCTCCTGCAGACTCTTGCTCACCACTGACCTAGCTCTTGCATCTTCCGCCTAACTACTGGCATTTCTTGACACCTGGCCACTAGGCTTCTGTCAAGGCCGCCAGGTACCAGATAGGGCTGGAGACAGCACAAATTCCACCTGAAACCTCCCAGTCAGGGAGCTGTTCTTGGGGGCTGCGATGCTTGCTCCGTGGTCATCACAGTATGCATCCTGACTCCTCCAGATACATTTAATAAAATAAATGTAGTTCAGTGTCAGCTGAGATCACAGAATGGGATGGGCTTACCTCTGGCAGGGAATCACCTCCCTACAATTCTCCACCCACTCACAGCTCACCCCCCACAGCTGTCCCCTGACCCTGCAGCTCCAGGTGTGGGACTCAGCGCGGTCACTACTTTGTCTCTGAAAAGCACTCACATGACTCATTGGTGAGTGTGACAGATATTCCTAAGGTTGGGGACAATGGTGGGGTTTCAGGTAGCCGTGTGCCTGCGCCCCTCTCATTCTTCCTCTGTCCGTCCTCGTCCTCTGCCTCTCCTCCCCGCCCACTCCCCTCATTACGGTGAAGGTCAGCTCAGTGACGTGGCTGCGATGTCCGACCATCTGCCCCAGGTCTCCCCCAGCAGCACAGAAGACCTGGCCGAGGCTCTGAAACACTGCCCTTCCCTGTCCGCCTTCCCACCCAGCTCCTCTGGATAGAAGGGAACAAGGTGGAGGTACAGATTTCTCCCCTTTACAACTACATTTTTGTGCCAATGGGTCCCTTGGGCGGTGTAGCAAAGCCCTGGATTCCATCTCAGAACAACGTTTTTAACCCATAAAACAAAATATGTTTAAAAACAAATTATAGCCCAGAATTGGAAATAACCCAAATGTCCTTCAGTGAGCAAATGATTGAACAAGTTGAGTACGTGCCTATCATGGAACGTTACTCAAGAACAAAAGGAACAAACCGTTATCTACACAAGAATTTGGACAGCCCTCCAGGGAAGTATACAGAATGAAAAACAGCCAATCTCAAAAGGTTACATACTTTTGAAAGTATGTGGACCTCAAAAGGTCACAGATTCCATGTTTTGACATTCTTGAAACTACAAAATTATAGATATGGAGAACAGATTAGTAAATGGCAGGGCTGAGGGAGGGGAGGGGGAGTGTCTGGCTATAAAAGGGTGATTGCATGAGGGATCCTTGCGGTGATGGAACTGTCCTGGTGATCACACAAATCTACACGTGTGACAAAATCGTATCAAACTAAATACACACGCACATATGTACACCAATGAGTGCATAGCCAACCTGCAGATGCCCCATGGATTGTGCCCATGTGAGTTTCCTGTTGTGGTGATGTGCTATAGTTTCACAAGATGATGCCATTGGGGGAAACTGGGGGAAAGTTACATAGGGAATCTTAAGGGAATTTTAAAACAAAAAGTTTAAAATGTATTCTGAAATAGTTATTTTTAAACACCTTTATGTTACAGTAATACATGCATTCCATTATTAACACATGTAGAAGATCTAGTGAGATCTTACAGCTACCCTGACAATAATGAGTGTGAATGATATTTCAAGATACCTGTGACAGGTCCTGCTAATACTGCTGTCTTTTGTTGCCTACATCCATAATCGAAGGAGATGCCAATTTTGCCAATGAAAATAAAAATGTAAACTTTCTTCCTATCCACACTCAGAGTTCCCTGAACTATATCATTGATCCCCAAGTTAAGAACCCTTGCCTTGTTTAAAATGGCAACTTTTGCCCGGCTGGTGTGGCTCAGTACTTGAGCATTGACCTATGAAACAGGAGGTCACAATTTGATTCCGGTCAGCGCACATGCTGGGATTGCAGGCTCAATCCCTAGTAGGGAGCATGCAGGAGGCAGCCGATCAATGATTCTCTCTCAATCTCTCCCTCTCCCTTCCTCTCTGAAATCAATAAAAAAATATATTTCTAAAAAAAAGTACACATATGTATATATGTGTATATGTATGTGTATATATATGTATACATATATACACACACACATACACACACACACACTTAAAAAAAATTAAATGGCAACTTCCCCTCCTCTGTTACACAAGCTATGATGAACACAAAAGGCAAAAAGTAGAGGGAACATCTGTGTAAGAGACAGTGGTCACATCGCATTGGTAATGGACCGGGGGAAGGGTGGGAGGTGGGGTGGTGCAGGGAGGCATTTTTTTGAAATGTTAATTGATGTTTCCCTGTATTGACCATCCCTCCACTCAAACAGCCTGACCTCAGGAATGCTTCTCAAATGCTATTTTGTTCTGAGTACAGGAGCTTGGTGCACTGGATTTATAAGCATGACTTTTTCTGCCTGGGAAAACTCTGTCTAAGTTAAAGCAGTTGACGTATGTAAAGAGAAATGTTTGAGATGAAGCAGTCCAGCGTGTAAATATTTATGAGTACCCTCCCTGTCCAATCCCTAGACCCCGTCATTTCCCAGTGTAGGAACAATAACAAAATGGGGTTCCTGTATAGAAAAGGCTGCCTGAACACTAGCAGATTGCTATCTTGTCCTGTCTATTTTAACTTCCACGAAAATGGGCAACCCACAGTTTCCAGATCCCTCCTTCCTTCCCCTGCTCACCAGATCCGGCATCTTAGTGCACAATTGGAGGAAGGAGCGTGATAGAATAAAACATGCGAGGCATGCCCCCGGGTTTTCCTATTTATTAGCTTTTTGTTGTGTGCACCGCCTTTCTTCTGACACTAGGAGCCATCCACTGGGTCTGAGTTGTTAAGCTTTTTCTCTGGGTAGTATACAGCGACCCCTACTGGAAGGCAGATGCCATCACAGAAGAACTCCCCAAAATGCATTCTTCCCCAGGAAAAGATAGGCTCACATCTAAACTCAGACTAATGTTCTCATTTCATGGGAAAACTTTTTCAACATGTGTATAAGTTACAAACCACACACATTCTTCCAACCTCCAAAGCTCTGGTGGGCTAGAAGCAACACTATGGCACTAAGCAAAATCAAATAAAACTTTGCAACAAGCAAGTTTTACACGGCCTAAAACCTTTTCAAAGATCAAGATGAACACTAATGCTGCAATTCCACAACCCACCAGATGTTGGAACTCAGGCCACATCAACATCATTCTGGCTGGTACTCCACTAGTGTCACTTCAACCATGAGCTTTCTTACTTGTCTGTTACTATCTCATTGTCAAGTACTCACGTCCTGGATTCCTTTGCAGCCTGGGCCATCCTAGACGACATACAACACACAGGTTCCAGCAGGATACAGGGTCTATGACAAGCCATTTCAACCAAGAACCCAGATGGAAAGAGCCCTGAGATGTTCTCTTGAGCATCTCCATGACTCTGTGGGGCTCTAGACCATCCCTGGAAGATACAAGGTGACAAGCCACAATTACATAAATGCCAATAGCAAACAAGGTAAGTCAGGAGACAATTCATAGAGACCACCAAAGCCCTTGACCTCGGGTGATAACGTACCTTTGGAATGTCAGAGTAATCTCCTTTTCCAGACGCCTCAGGGCACAACCTCCCACCAAAGCACCAACCCCTCAATGTTATCCTGGTGCCCACATACCAGTGAGATGGGCCAGACACATCCTGGAGCCCTCCTGTGGTCCCTCCCTGGCCCCGATCATGCACTGGTGGGGTCCCTCAGCCTGGCCTGCGCCCTCTCACAATTTGGGACCCCTCAGGGGATGTCGGAGAGTCAGATCCTGCAGGCCACTCCCCTTGGGAGGGCACCAAACACAGGGCTCACAAGTGCTACTGTGGCGGTGTGAGCCTCTCCTGATTGGGACTGATTGGGCGCGAGCCTGCAGCAGGCACAGTGGGGCCGGGGTGAGCGGGAGTGGCAGGTAGGAGCTGCAGGCGGCGTTGGACTGTGGGTTTCGGCCCGATCCCTGCAGGCCACCCTGAGGGACCCCACCTGTGCATGAATTCATGCACCAGGCCTCTAGTATCAATAAAGCTACAGAATTAAGTCCAATATTTTTTATGCAATTTTTTTTAAACTGTCCCCCAAAGTGTCACTCGCATTAAAGTCCAATATTTTTTATGCAATTTCTTTTTTTTAAACTGTCCCCCAAAGTGTCACTCGCATTAAGTATGTGTCAAACCATGATTTAGAGCTGCACTGTCCCATACAATAGCCACTAGCCATACATGGCCATTGAGCCCTAAAAATGTGACTAGTATGAATTGAGACGTGCTGCGTTTTCAGCATCATGGCCCATGAAAGGACAGTGAGGAGACAGTAACCACAATGGTTTGAAAAAGGAAAGTTTAATATAAAGAATTAGTAACTATTTAAAGGGAACTACTATGAGGAAATAAAAGCGAACTCTAAAGAATACCCTCTGACAGAGGGAAAGTACTCAAAGAAGGAAATAGCTTGGGATGGGAGGGAGCCCCTCCCTAAAGCTGGGACACAGGTCTCTTTGGGTGTGACTGCCGCCACTGGATGACAGGGAAGTTCACTGGGTCGTCTGGGCCAGAGCTGGTACACAGTCAGAAGCTGAGGCTGGCAGGCAGAATACTATGGGCCTTGCCTGGCAAGCAAGTCCCCTACAACTGGGGTTCTTAGTAGGCAGAGGCTATGGTTGGACACCACCTGCTCACATGGATGAAATGTGCCCTCTAGCACCCCCTACTGACAACAATTGAGCCTGCTGGCAATGAAGAAATGTTCTAATATCACAAGAAAAGTAATGAAGGGTGGGTTTGGAATAAGGAGGCATTAAGTGACAACTGGCACACCCCCTCTAAAGGTTGAAGGCTTGATATTGTGCTATCAGGGTTGTTGTTGTTTTTTTTACAGGAACATAAAAAACTTCCTCAAAAGAATTTTACCAACATACTTAACTGAGGTTTTCCAACTTCTCCTGGGGGGCAATTAAGGATTCAGCCTTTTACTTTTTAGGCCTCATTTTCTCATAGATCTCTGACTCAGTGTGACCCATGATGAGGGTTTCCTTTATTCTTCCTTGAACATTTCAGGAAATTATGGTCCCAGGATCAATCTCTGGAGTTTTGGGTTCTTTCTGGTACACGAATCCTAAATTAAACAGAAGAAGGACCAAAATGTTTAAAATTAACTGACTCAGGGGAAGTTGTGGTTCCTTTCCTGACCCAGACAGGAACATCCGTGGAACATTTATCCGGTGTAAAGAGAACTAGAGAACATCTGATTTTGAGGGGTCTGAGAAGGAAGGGGTGCAAGAGAGGCCAGACAGTTAAACAGGTTTAGTTTACGATGCCTGCCTGAAGCAACAAAGACTTTCGGAAAAGAAAACCAGCCCAGGGGCAGAACTTAGATATGGCATCACCAGGCGTGGAAGGCGAGGGAGGAGGACACAAAAGGAAGACATTACGGGATCTCACCAGGTGGGCACTTACCCATTCACCCTACATTACATCTCTGCTCTTCTGGGAGTCTGGTTGCTCCATATCTTGACTATGCCAAATTGTTGGGGGAGGGGGATACAGACAAAATCTAAAAGCAACATTTTGGTAAGGCTGGGGTGGCTCCATGGTTGAGCATCGACCTATGACCCAGGAGAGGTCACCAGGGAGGGCACATGCCCAAGTTGCAGTCTTGGTCCCCAGTGTGGGACGTGCAGAAGGCAGCCAATCAATGATTCTCTCTCATCGTTGATGTTTCTATCTCCGTCTCCCTCTCCCTCCCTCTCTGAAATCAATAAAAATATTTTTAAAAAATAAAGGCAAGATTTTGTTACTTGTAGGGACTGCATTGTAGAAGTAGAGGAGTGCTCATCAGCCAGAGGTCAGAGATCAACACCTCCAACCCTTTATATGTAGAAATTACACACTTCCTTTGATACATGGATACAACCTAAGTCTCCCTCCACGATGGCCTTGTGGTCATCAGAGGAGAGTCATTGAGACATTCAGTCCTCATCACATTCATCAGGGGAGAGATATATAGACCTAGTTGTAAGTTAATAAACTTCAAAAAAGCTATTTAAAAGGGGTGCTACAAAGAAAACATTTTAAGCGGTCCCAGTATTTGTTTAATAAAATATTAAGAGATCTATGAAAGGGTCACAGAATTTGTTATTTCGGAGTTTACATTTAAAAAAAGGTGACCTAAACCCGGCTTTCTCTTGAGAATAGGGCCATGGAAGACAAACCTCTGCCCCCAAACTCCTCCTGCCTCTCCATACGTTCCCTGGGGCACTTCACAGTTGAGGGACAACCCCTTCAAGTTTCTCCCATGTCCCATTCTGTGTCCCTTTTGCCTTAGTTGGTACAATGGGGAGAAGACTCAGAGAGGAAAGCCTTGTTGGTAGAGGACAGAGTGCAAGGGGTTGGTAGCCAAGAGGCCCTTCTAATTCCAACTCTGAAATCAGCATGCTGTGGGAATAAGGGCAAGTCCCTTCTCCTCTCTGGACCCCAGGGTCCCTATCTATCAAGTTGGAGCTATTTCAACTCCACGCCTCTCTCAGAGAAGTCAGAGGATGAGAGAACTGACAAAACTAGAATTTGGGAAAAGGTGAAGAGAATGAGCCGCATAAGCCCTTGGCCTGATCTCCCGGTATTAACCCTGGGGAGGGTGACTCACCTGGCCCACCCAGAACTGCCCATCACTCCTGGTCCACCACTCCCTTTTTCTCCCCTGACCTGGTAAGTCACATAGGTGGATTGCCTTAGTCATCCACTCAATAGGGCTACTGCCTAGAGTACAAAGACTTGTTTGCACCTAGTGAGCTAATCTTCCTGTTTGAAAACTCTAAGTCTGACACACCTATGTGGACATATGGGCAGCAATTTCCCTGTGCCTTGCCGCTACCAAAGCCCAGGTTTACAGCCTTCTCAATATGTACTCTGCATTGATCAAATAGTGTATTTTACATATTCCAAACTCTGTGGCCCTCTGACTGACCGTTATCTCTTTTCCCCTTCTCTCCATCCAAAGCTCACCCACACTTCCACCCTGCTTAAGGGACAGACAGGCAATCTCCTCTGTCCCTTCTCTAATTGGCCAGTATCAGATGGCTTGATGCTCCCCTCTCCTGGGAATGCTTTGCCCGATAGTATTCTGACTGGGACAGGAAAAAACAGCCAACCTGTTTTGTAGAGTGGCTGTACCATTTTACATTCCCACCACTAATGTATGAACAATCACTTCTCCACATCTTTGCAGTGTTTGATAATGTCACTATTTTAAAAATATATTTTTGTTGATTTAAGAGAGTAAGGGAGAGGGAGAGAGAGATAGAAATATCAATGATGAGAGAAAATCACTGAATGGCTGACTCTTCCAAGTTCCATACTGGGGATTGAGCCCGAAACCTGGGCACGTACCCTAACAGGGAATTGAACTGTGACCTAGGAATTGAACCGTGACCTCCTGGTTCATAGGTTGACACTCAACCACTGAGCCATGCCAGCCGGATCATTTGGATATTTATAACATCATTCAAGGGGCCATACAAAATTATCAACTTAAATTCTCTCTCATCATTGATGTTTCTCTCCCTTCCTCTCTGAAATCAATAAAAATATTTTTTTAAAGAAAAAAGTATCAACTTAAAAACTAGCATGTTATATTTGGTTAAACATTTAATTAACTCACCCCTAATGCCTTTTGGCAGGGCTGTTTGGATAGCTGCATGTGGTTCTGCTTGCTTCTGGCTTAAGATACTTGCAGGTAAGGGGAGGCCGTGGACAGCTCACTCACTACAGCCCAGGGATCACAAGGATTCCAGATCCCAGCTAAATGTAAGAGCAAATGAACAAAAGGTGGTCTTTTTAAGTTATTGGTAAATTGCCCTTAAGCAACAGCACATCCAGTTTCTAGGGAATTTACAATCTGGACAATACACTTAACACCTCTCGCTGCCAGTGATTTCTCTCTGATCAGCCACACTGTGCTAGGTAACAGGCTCGCTTTTAAATATATATCCTATATAATAAAAAGGCAATATGCAAATTGACCAAACAGAACGACCTGAATGCCCATGACCCCTCCCCCTGGCCGGCCTTGCCCCTGAGTGGGCCCACCCACCCTGATCCAGGGCAGAGTCCTGGCCAACAAACCACCCGTGGACCCTCGCCCCGGCCAGCCGGTCCCCAATGGCTCCCATCAGGCGGGCCGGCTGGACCCCACTACTGCACAAATTCGTGCACCGGGCCTCTAGTATATATATATTTCAGAGAGGAAGAGAGAGGGAGAGATAGAAACATCAATGATGAAAGAGAATCATTGATTGGCTGCTTCCTGCTTGTCCCCTACTGGGGATTGAGCCCACAGGGGCATGTGCCCTGACAGGGAATCGAACCATGACCTCCTGGTTCATAGGTCAATACTCAATCACTGAGCCACACCAGCCCAACACTAGCTCACTTTTTTAGTGGTTACTTAACACTCATCATTTATTTATTTATTTATTTTTAATATATTTTATTGATTTTTTATTGATTTTTTACAGAGAAGAAGGGAGAGGGATAGAGAGTTAGAAACATCGATGAGAGAGAAACATCGACCAGCTGCCTCCTGCACGCCCCCCAGTGGGGATGTGCCCGCAACCAAGGTACATGCCCCCGACCGGAATCGAACCCGGGACCCCTGAGTCCGCAGGCCGACGCTCTATCCACTGAGCCAAACCGGTTCGGCAACACTCATCATTTAAAAAGCTTTCTTGGCCCTTATAAAGCAAAATGGCCGGACTCTGATGGCTAGCACTTGACTACTGATTCAGAGTGAACTTGGGTCAGGCAGAAAAACCTTTCTTTTCTGGTTTTCCCACAACAGGGCAGGCAGGTTCCAGTCCTTAGGCAAAAGCATCAGCACAGAGGGAGTCCCTCAGGGCCACCAAGTGGAGTGAAGTGACTCTTTGTATAATCCATTTTTCTCCCAGAGGTATTAAAGTGATTTTTCCACCCATTATTTTGTGCTTACTGTGACGGGATCGAATTCAGATGTCAGCCACCTTTATGAGCCTCGATTCATTAAGCCATCGAGATAAACAGATGGTGCTTTGCACTCAATATGAGGGCAAAGTGACTTGGAGAGCCCAGTGATCAGTCAATAAAAGCCTATTTGCAGTGCCATTGAGTACGGCAGGACCTCCCAGAAGAGGCACTCATTCTGGGCGAATTAGCAGACTGTAAAAATAGCCCTAAGTCGTTGTTGGGAGAGACAGAGTGGGAGAAAGCAGAGAGGCAATCAGTATCCAAGGCAGTGAGAGGTGCAGGGAGGGGGGTTCTTTACAGAAGTGTGTAAATGGTGGGAATCAAGAGACTATATTGACATTTATAGATAGATATTATCGATATTTACAGATATAGATATACATGTGATAGGCAATCAGTCATGAGCTGAGCAAGGACCACAGGCCAAGTACACAAACGCACCAGGGCCAAAAAGCCCCAGAATAGGGGCAAAACTGGGAAAACAAGAACTTAGCCCCTAGGGCAGCGGTTCTCAACCTGTGGGTCGCGACCCTTTGGGGGTCGAACGACCCTTTCACAGGGATCGCCTAAGACCATCGGAAAACACATATATAATTACATATTGTTTTTGTGATTAATCACTATGCTTTAATTATGTTCAATTTGTAACAATGAAAATACATCCTGCATATCAGATATTTACATTACGATTCATAACAGTAGCAAAATTACAGTTATGAAGTAGCAACAAAAATAACTTTATGGTTGGGTGTCACCACAACATGAGGAACTGTATTAAAGGGTCGCAGCATTAAGAAGGTTGAGAACCACTGCACTACTTTCCTCCCCTAGCAAATCGCTGGTCCTGTGGTTTGGCCCCCCTGAGCTCTCACACCGCGGGCCATGCGGCTCAGACAAAACCGACCTTGAGGCGGCCTGGCTCCGCACACCCGGCCCGGCCTGTCCCCCGGGGAACAGGCGAGAGTAATGGGAAGTGCCCTCAGGCCGGGAGTCCGCGGCTGAAGCACCGCGCAAACCCCACAGGGGAGCGCTCACCTATGACGAGATCCCCGCGCGAGAGCAGGGGACTTCGCCCCTACGGCGCGCCAGCCAATCGGGAACCCGCTCCGGGCGTCCCCACCCACCGCGCACACACGCGCACACACCGGCCGTTTCCGACCTTCTGATTGGCTGGATCCGGCTGTAGGCGGGACGGGGAGAAGC